AAAMCMMKWAAAAAATGATCGATCAACTTTTGTACAGTGGATGGTCCAACGATCTTGGACATACAGTTGCACTAGCCAGGGAACTGATTAGCATAAGTGATGACGGTGGACATACTAACGGAAAAAATAATATTCTATTGCCAAATATAGCAATAGTATGGGTCATGATCAGTACACCAGCTAATTCAATGAAACTTAAACAAAATCTTTGTTCGGTTTTCATCATGGTTAACAGTATGTTTCGGATGTATAAAACTAACRAAACAGAAAAAAGACAAAGTTGMGGTAAATGAAGTRRKTWARGGSSKTTWMMRGKTGCTCCATGCATTAGAATCAGTAAAACAAAGTCTGAAGTATTAYAGTCTTACCTTTAACTTGTAAAATTATCACAAAYAGCCAGACAACAGTTACATGGTTCAACCGTTGTGCAGGCATCGTTATACCGATATGTCCACCAGGTCAACTAACAAAGGGTTTTGATAATGGTCAAAAGTAGCGCAAAGCGGAACTAAATCATCTTTGGTCAATATCAGTGTTTATTTGAGACGTTAGTAAGTGTAAACAAAGAAATATTGTTATCAATATCGGTGATAATGGCCGGAATTGAGCAGGCGTATAATTTATAGCARAAGTGTCATCAGAATTTAGATTTGCACAACTAATAGTTAACTTAAGTTGTATGTCCCATACCTTTCTTTTGCTTGCTCTGTTACGGARCAACAGTAATYCGTCCCTTGATRATAAACTTTTCMCTCTTTTTATTTCATTGTCATCTGTCTTTATTTCGCGGAATTTCCAAATTTTCTTCATGTTTTCGTTAAAGATTTCCCTAGCCTCGGCCGCACCGTCTGTCAGTTTTTCCTGCAATCTGTCTTGTTTTTTTTTCGTAAAAACAAGAACAGAGAAAATCAGTTATAGTTGTGTAGAAGGCCAGACTTCCAGCTCTGAAAACTTTGCTAATATATATGCGCTTGTGGTTTCAAGCAGTACTATTCAATAATGTCTAGAATATTTGTGCACAATGCATTAGTCACTAGCGTCAGTAATGTTTCCGGTAAATTCGCAGCACAACAATAATTACATGACAAAAACTCTAACTTTCCAGAGATGTTCAMGTTTCATTGATTTTATTTTCTTCTTTTTAATCACACTTCAACTGCGCTCACTGAATTGGTAAAAAACACCGGAAGAAAAGCCCAAATACATAATTAAGTAAACTAAATATTGACGCACWGCAATTATAAAGGCACCTTATCATGAAGGGGAGGGGGTGGGTTATCACGATCCACTTGAAACACAGAGCTTTTAGAAAAGGCTTATCACGACCATGACGCTCAAGTTATCATGACTTTCTTCCATGTTTGCTTGACATTGGAYAGAAATACACACCAGACGAGGGGTTATGACTATCATATAATTTTATTATATAAACCAACTAAACTTTTATTAAAATATCTATAAAAATCTTTAGTCTTATGTACAGTAATGCCGCAAAAACATTAACATAAAAACACAGGAGACATAAATAAACACAGACAGGTGTTTATAAATGTGATCATCAAAGGAAACAGTAACTATAACATTTGAAGTACATTGCCAAATAAGGACATCTGCACAATAGGTATGCCCATATAAGGAAACAGTTCTGGTATGACCATATAAAGAAGCAGTTTTTGTGACATCACATCAGGTATGGCCATATAAGGATTAATTTCGAGAAACATCACACTGTACCAATGTTATTGAACTTTTTGATTCTGGCAGGGACATTTTCTCTAAACAACARTGGGTCAGCACGAAACTCTACAGTTTTTAGAGGTATTTGTCCACCATAGGCTCTCACAAACTCATTCAAACATGATGATCTCTCTACAAAGTGTTTGGGATTTGCCCAGAGTGAGTCACTRGTACAATTATGACAYCTGAACCTCTTACGTGATGTTACCTGGAAAAACAATATCMACTTCAGAACAAGGAAGCATAACTTCTTAAGAGTATATTAAACTTTTTGTGGAATCATATCTTATCATKGCACTCATGGTCATGTACTAGAAGACATACCTTGATTGGAGCTTTGCCAGTATAGTTAGCAACCATAAAATTCATTGCAATGTCTTCACAATTCATATGTGAGTCCACCCATGACCGAATATGATAAGGCATCATGTATGTGAACAGATGACTAAAATACTGCAATAAAGATAAGGTAGTTTAGATCTTTAATCACTMATAATTATTGATAATGATAATATAAATACCTTATGGTGAAATGCTGCACCAGTTAACACCATGGATACATCATTAGTCCACTCAGAATCATATTTAAACTGACTGTTATTACCCATTACATGAATACGACCAGGAAATCCAACAAGACGATCTGGAAACTCCCTCCATGCTTCATAACCAAATTGAAGTTCATCATTAGATAACATTAGGATATCGTCATCAATGGCAAGAATGGCTTCTGTTTCGATCTCACTGTATGGATAAAATCTGAAAACAAAGTTCCATTTACTAGGACGAAATGACCAAACAACACCTGTGGGCAATGATATTCTTCACCAACCTGTTACTCAGGCGATTTTTCTTTGTCTGTATAACTTTAACTGGTTTTGACAACTTTGGCCATTTTGCAACTAAAACCACAGTTAGACGGATGAAATAAATTCACAAAGAAAAATATAGAACATTGTCTGTTCCAGACTACTAACAACTAAGAATGGCAAAGGAAACCCAATGTACCTGATGGGGGTGCCTTCTTGACATTATTCCATACTACGACTATCTGTTTTAACAAGGAAAATAAGCAACACTTAATGGTGAAGTACATGCAAAAATAATATACATAATATTATGATGTTTGAAAGTAATGTTACCTTAACCAAGCTTGGAGTCTGGTCTATCTTTTTTAATACTTTGAACATCATGTCAACACGGTCATAAGACAAGACAACTGCTGTGAAGCCCTGTGATCTTGGTGGTATAAGAGGTAGAAACAAGGGTGATAGAACTGTAGACTAGATTAGAAATCATATTTTAGATATTAATGCTGCAGTTAATACTTTTTTTAACATTGAAAGTTTCATGTGCCTTTACATGAGCAAAGAAACAAGGTGATGGTTGTCAGTTCCTGATATTCTAGGAAAACATGTAGACATGGAAAATGTATCCATCCATCATCTCACTTTGATGCAAATTAAGATCTGGCTAGACAGACTCAAGTTATCACTTTGCACCTCATTAGGCTTCTCGTGGTCATTGTTACTTTGATGGATACAGCTACCATTCAAGATATTCACCAAATAGATGTGAAAGCAAATGCTTTTATCTACTTTATGAGTTGCTAGGCAACTTACTGTAAGACCACCATTGTTTGTAGCAAATGGAGCATTCCAGTCTTCGTACTTCCATGCTCTGTGTTTATAAATTCTGTCATTAATCACTTTTAGAGTTGTCAAACCTATTTTACTCATTGAGCTGAAGTAATTGGTCCACAAAAATTGACCCTGAAAAAACAAAAACAAAAAATAAATTATTAGTTAATGATACCGAAAATCTAGCAAATACTAAACATTTATTTAACATTTTTGCTACTTTCAATGATTGTATAATTATACAGTAAATTCAAAATGAATATCAAAAATCTGCACTGTTTTTGCAGACAGACCTGCCGTTTCATGTCCTCTATCTGATTGTTTGAAGTTTGTTTCAAGATACTTGGTATTCTTGATATTTCATCCTCTGATAACCTGATCACAGCTCTGAAAAGAAGGAAACATGGTATTGTTTACTGAAGTGAAGTGCCAAAGATAASTAATTTTGGTGATATATATTGTATTGTAATGATGCCAGTTTGAACTGTTTTTTTTGCATATATATCACTCAACATACCTCTTCCAGTCCAAAACCTCTGAGAATGGAAGAACATAGTTGTTACTGATAACAATAGGAATACAACCCTACAACGAAACAGTTACATCATTTATAAATAGTAATGACCAGATGACCGAAATATGATATTAATGACAAATACTTACCATCATTAAAGMATCCATCAGAGCTGTCTGTCCAAGACGGACACCTCTGATTACCACACAGAATGTACCACTCTAAGGGATATCATGCTTTCATTAGTAATATTTGAATTCAACAGTATACAGTATTCATAATGATGCACCATACTGACATCCATAGGCGGATCTAATGGAACCTCCTACTCTACTTTGAATATTATTGTGTTACTTTCCTGTAATWCACAATGAGCACCCACTCCCTAAAAAATATCAAGGTCCCCCTTGATTTCATTATACAAACAAACATATACTGTACCTCCAGTATATCAGGGTACTTGTAAACTGTACTRTCTTTACATCTATATAAAGGGTTATCATGTTCACTGTTTGTACAGCGATTTAGTACCAACATGTCTTGATTGTCTCTTTCAAGTTGATACAAATCTTCTCTGTATTCAGTGAAGTAATTTACTTGACTTGAAATCATCAGCCATTTTGCCTGTCTGTAAATTTAGTTATCATAATTAATGAGTGCTATCCTTTTTCTTTGCTTTTATTATTTATTGATTGAATATGTTAAGGACTGGAAGGTTACAATATCAAAAATAAAATGTCTAAGCATTGCTCATTAGTGAATTATTACAGACATTGCATAGTTTACATGAAGAGAAGCATCCTTACCTYTTCTCTTTTACCTTTGAAGGTATGTTGGTTAATGCATTGAAGACAGGAATACTAATATCAAAACTAGGTCTGAAGGTCACTGTAGACATGCCTCCCCCTGCCAGGATAGCTTTTCCAAGTGGAAGGTCCAGTGATGGGTTAAAATCAGGGGGGCCTCCAGGAAGCATATTGAATACCAAATGATTCCTTTCAGATTTATTCCAGCTGAAAAGAAAGATCATTGAACTTTTTAATAATGAACTACTAGTAAATGACTTACATGGATTGAACATATCACTCATATGACACAAATAAGCATGCCCTACTACTGCTCAAACACCACCACTTCAAAAGCTTTTGYGCATAACTCCTTATGGCTAATTTTTGAAGGAAGAGACTAGTTGTACAAAGGGAAGATAAGGATATCTACCAGATATGAGTTCTCTATTGCTGGATAATGATTTATCTGGTYGACAGTGTTATTTATCCTTTGTTCAGCCAGCTTCAACATTATATAGATGATACTCACGTTGGTAGGCTAGCAAGAGCCTTGGATACTGTATCTAGATCAAGCCCATTTTGATTCAAGGTATCAATTGGTGGTACAACAACACAAGCATTATCTCTATCATCTGTATAATAACTACTTTGTCTTATTGCATTCATAAGTTCATGGTATTGCTGTGAAACAGGATKCAGAATAACCTTGTTTCCTGTACTGTCAATAAACTCAGTGTAGGGATAAACATACACACTAATAAGACTGTTCTCGTTGTATTTGCACCGATAAATATTGAAACAAGAAAACATACGACATTTTGTGTTTGTTTTTTGAGGAGATGGTTGAGTTTTTTGGACGAAGATTGTCTCTAAGWACTCTGGTTTGGCTGGGTACAACCGAGTATCACTGTCATTATTGGCACGGACTCGCGTCCATAACTGAGAACAAACAAATGCCAAGAAAAACGCAAAAAGGACCGCTACAAGGACGACTAGCTTTGACTTGTGTCGCATTCTTGGTAACGTAGGATTCCTGTTGAAGATCTTGTCCGTTTTTCTTGTCACTGTGAAGACACTACTTGTGACGTCCATGTTGATGGCCAAACTCAAAGCTACGGACGATTTTCCATGTTTTCTCTACATCTAGCAAAGTTTATGWAACTGTTTTGGCCTTGAAAGTATACATAACCATATAAACATGCAATGTCRCTATATTGATACGCGATCACATCCACAAAACATGTTTTTTTAGGTGGAAATACATAACATGCATGTTGTGCCTTCTTTGGGTGAAATCAAACRGCCTCGGTCCCATGGCACTAATCACTTCCGGTCAAAATCTCAAARATGTAAAGATGAAATCTTACTATGAAATGAAGATAGCAAAATACTTGAAGAAAGTATGTCTGGCTTGCTAATACATTTTGTCGCTTTTTTGCAAATTGGCATAATGACAACATAGCAAGGTTTGGATTAAATCTTGWGGTGTGGGTTTCCTGTGCTATTTCGTGGGCTCATATCCCGTCAGCCACTTCGTTTGTTATGTATCATACACAGCTCTAGGAAAATAAGAAAAAACGGCGACAAATCTTCCACTTTGCCCATGAAAAAGTCAAGATTTCAGCCTTAAAATACAGCTGATCATCTTAAAATGATTTTCAATCATTGTTTCACCTTTCTGTGCTGTAAGTATGACAGGTTTTACTTTTTAAATGACGTTTGGTTCGAAAAYAAAATGCTTTGAAACATCTGTCCTCTATGGGCTCTCCGCGATTTTCAGAAGAAAATTCTGATATTCTACAAATTATCATGACGAATTGGTATGATAAGCTATGATCTTCGCTTTTCTTTTTTAAGATGAAACATATGGCGTTAAAATAAATGTTTTTATAGCAGCAACCTAACGAGGGCAAAAACTTTATTGACGAAATGCAAACTGCATTGTCATGGGAGAAAGATCTTTCAGCTGTAAAATTTATTCCATAGATTTAGCTACTAAAACTCAAATGTTTATTGTTAAAGTAAGTGTCTAAACATCACGAAATATAATGCAGAATGTTTCGAKAGAAATGAGGATACTTTTTGATGATAAATAATTGATTTTAGTCACATGGTTTGGCATAAATTTAGGTAGATTTTGACTATGATGTAAGATTTTGAGATTGAAGTTTTTTCATCATTGTTGTCACTGCCATTGTTCAGGGATTAGGCCAATATTCAAAATTCAAGKGATTTTTGGCCAAACTCAAGCAAGATGATAATTGTTTCTGAACATAATAATACTTGTAAGGACTGTCAAAATASTTGTAGATTGGAAGCAATTCAGCATAAGATCTAAAAATCTGGTTCTAGTCACCAACAAGTATCTTACTCAGAATAAACAATTTGATAGTATGATATGTAAAAACTCTGGGGGATGTCACATGGTGTGGAATGACATTTCAATGATTTTTCAATTTATYTTTTGGCATACAATTATTATTTTATAAGTGTCTTAAAAAAACAAGGAAAGACAAGAAGAGTACAACCTTAAGCAGACTGAATTACAACAGGTTATATATGGCAGTTTTAAAGAATAGAGGAATCATATATTGATAATAGAGCAGACACAGGAAAACCATGTGTGATAGAGCGAATTTCGTATGAGTGGGAAAACGGACGGTACTGTACTGTGACCGCAATCGTACTGTAACCAAATTCGAGTGCCCCATTGGTTCACCAAAATTGTGCAGGCCAGGTGCGGTAACTGTGCGGTAACCATGCGGTAACGGTGTCCCACTCATACGAAATCCGCTCTAGGGTTGCATTGCGTGACAAATGTAGTGTGGCGCTAGTGATCGCGCAATGCGTCAGTCGTTTTGAAATAAGGTTAGTTCTGTTTTGGCCGGCATACTGGCAAGAATGTCGAGCAGACCTGTGAAGCAAATTTGTCTTTCTTTTGTTTTTTAGTTTTTAATATCGTACGTTCCAAAACATCCTAAAAGAAACGATCAAGAATTAGTTCAATTGGTCACAGATGAAAAAAAATTCAAACTAAATACTAGCAAATTGCGACAATTTGTTAGTATCAATGAATGAGAACACAATGAAGATGAATCCACATGGGACCATTTTTAATTCATCTCCATTGTGTTCTCATTCATTGATACTGACAAATTGTATCTAAATAGCCGCAATTCATTAGAACTTAGTTTGATTTTATTTCATGGTTTTCCTGCGTTTGCTCTATATAAAATGATTTATAAATTGTTAGATTAGTACTACCAGYGGTAGTCAGTATTAGATAAATACTAATGATAAATCAGTTTGGTGAATATAATGCWGCACTGATGAATAAAACAGCAGCATTAAATAGAGTGTAAATTTAAGGGGCATCATGCCATATCAATAAGATATGAATTAGTCATACATTTTTACAACAATTTTTTTTTTGTTCAGGTTTGATTGGAGTGTTAGTCAGCACAGAAGCTCAATCACCAACAGAAAACCCAGAATGCAATGGCATGAATAAAGCAAAAACAAGACTAGAAAAGGGAATTGGGAAATTTACAGGAGAACCAATTAATTGCCTTGTGAACACAGCATGTACTGGTAAATACATGTWGATGGTTGGTTTTGAATGTGCAACWATTTACTTAAAGGATTCTCATTGTTTATCAGGCCTAAGTTGYAATGGAACTCATAAATCASAACCATTTTACATGAGTCTAAAACTCCAACACTGYATGAAACCAGATCCAGAGATTCATATTGACCTGATATACCCAAAAAGAAAACTCAATGTTCATCRAGAACTTAAACAAGRCTCRACTRTARACTTGTACAGCAYYARCAMTSYAGAGRTCAAATTGAAATTAAATCTGAAAAGAAAACAAAACAGAATTACTACAAGTGTAAGTATGCAAGAATAAAATACATTTTGAAGATCCAAAAATAATGTTATTTCCTTATCTTATTTTGTAGATTGATCTAGAAGGCTGTACAAAATTAATGGGACGTTGTAATAAAATGCAAACTTTGCTGCCAACCACAACCTACTGTGTCAACATGAACACATGCCCAAAAGGTCAGTAGATTTGCATGGCAGCTATAACTTATACTGGATTGGAATGAAAAACATATTTTGTATCTCCCAAGTTATTGATGTTATTATTATTAATCAGTATTTAATGATTGTTTCTCCAGGCCAGTTCAACACCACTGGTTATATCCCTTGTCAAGTGCCATCAACACCCACATATCAAAGTCCTAAGACTAGATTACCTACTCCAACAGGTATGTGACTACAGTTATTGTATCATTTTTTCGTCTTTGGACTCTACTCCTTGTTGAAAGACAGCAAAGGTTGAATCTGTATTGAACTCTACTTCCTCCCCCTCCAAGAAGGTCATATTTTTGACACAGGAATCCCAATTAACTCAATTAACTTAGGTGGAAGTTAAAGACTGCTTAAAGAGTAGGTTAGATTGAATAAAATGTTTTCTCATTTTCATAAATTGTAAATTTTGTCAATAGTATTAAAGATAAAGTGTTAATAATATTATAATAAACATAATTTCATAGGACCTCCTAAATCATCTAACCCTTCAACAATCAATGGAGTGTCAACCACTAAAAAATCAATGYCAGACTTGCATTCTACACCATCAGGTCAGGGCAAATAYTTGTCWTWTGACCYTTGTYTCAAAATTAATGTTTTCAAATTTTCATCTTTATGTTTTTTGACTTGAAGATAATATTTCAACAGTGAATTTTGTAATTTTTAGAATCTCCTAAGTCCACAAATCCTTCAACAATCCATAAAGTGCCCACYACTAAAAAATCAATGYCAGACTTGCATTCTACACCATCAGGTCAGGGCAAATAYTTGTCTTCTGATCTTTTTTAAGATAAACACCTTAATACAATATACAGTAAGATGCTAATTTATATGGATCTAACCACTCTTTAATGTAGTTCTGCCATCCAGTCCAGTTTGCACCATTAGGCTTTGTGCGCCTCTGTTAKYGTTATGATTTACACCAAAATACTTTTAGTATCCAAAATATCAACAAAACGAATGTCAGATSGTTGGAAACTCTAATATTAGCGTTTGAAGTTCTACTTAGAAAAGTAAGATGGTCAAAGATTCGAAACACACAGTACAATTTACATGTACATGTATAGACTTYCGGTAAACTGAAAATGGCCGTTTTCAGGCCSCAAAGCATAATRGTGYAYACTGGGCCTTTAAATTTCAATGYTTTCAACTTTTAACTTTTCTATAATAATTGTGTTTCAGAGCCTATTGGAGCAAAGGGGCACAGCAAAAAAGGTGAGTATAACATTTATTGTAACATATGGAAAGATATTGTTAGTACATTGYGACACCATTACATTTACATATGTATTATCATTAATACTCATATTATTCATGCCATTGAAATGTATWATTGTTTATTTGTTGCTAGGTGATGGGCATCATCATATTTCTGTGGGAGAGGCTGTTGGGATTGGATTTGCAGTGCTTGCTGCCATTCTTATTGTTATTGGTGTTGTTATCTACTGGAAGAAGTTCCATCATCGCTCTCGTCTGCGTGCAGCTTACTACAATGAYATCTCAATGAATGATCCTTTGTATGAAGACTTTGGGCCAGAGGTTGCATAAAGGGGATATTCTTTTGTACAGTGAAAACCTTTGTAATCTTAGAAAGAGTAAGCTTGGTATTAGACTGATTCCATAAGTCGTAGTTTTCGCTCCTTGGTTTTTCGGTTTGCCACAAAACTACAAAAACTCTGACAGAGCAAACTTTGACTGACTTATGGAATCAGTCTAGCTTAGTATTTCCTTAAATCCCCTTGATAACATTCTAAATGGTGAAAAAGTAATTTGATATACTGTTTGGGCGTGAACAACATCAATTTATCAAATTTGATGTTTATCCTCTGTTGGTGTATTTGTGTCTTATTTTTATCATATTATTATTTTGAAGAGTGCTCAGTGTTTAATGTTGACACCATTAATTTCAATACCACAACTCTATTTAACTGATTGAACAGTCTTCAATAAAATGTGTTATAAATAAAGGGATTCGCTGTACAGTAGAAGGGAAGGAACTTTTGACAACTTTCATGTAAATAATCTTGCTAGATATTTTGGTTCTAATTTTGATAATCTGCACAGACATGGGATGCATTTAAAATTCAGTAGGAAATCACAATTAGTTTATAGTGTCATAAATTGTCTTGTTTTCTTGARATAATTGTGGATTTGCTTTATAATGACTTAAAAGGTAATGAAAATTCATTTATATCATACATCTGCAGACATTCACATGTTKACGTTTTATGTTTCCATGTTTTATAATTAATAAATTGCCATCAGCATTGCAAATGCTTTAATATCTCTCTTCATAGAGAAGCTAAGGAAGGAAGAAAGGATATTTCAACCTTTCTCCACTACCCAAGATGACAGAGAGAGATGTAGGGGGAAAGGTTARGGAGGGAATAAATAAATTATGAAACAGTATTGCAAAATAGCACAAAGCACATTTAAAATACCACGACCCCAGTTTACATAGATTTACCATTGCCAGTGGCAATATATATGTCATTTTGGTCATACAATCAGTGATTATGTTAATTCAATGTAAATAGAACAAGGTGTACCTAATAAAGATTGTAAAACTTCATTTGTTTGATATGCAACTAGATATTAGTAGACTATATAGTCCATAGCTTAACAAGCCTTAATCACATCGGGTTTCCTGTTGTTTTTTTTTTTTCAAATTGGCAGGAAGCCCGGCCAGAAGAACGGCGAAAAGATCCTTAATGCAGTACTGATTTACTTTTACAAAAAAGTAAACCGGCCGGTTTTTGGCGGAAGCTGAAAAGAATGTCTGATAAGAGATGGTTGAGCAAATGTGGGAGTGGAGGAAATAACATGACGTGCAATGTCACCAGGCTTTTTTGTTTTGTTTTGTTTTTCTATGGCTTAAATATGTCTTAATTGAGGCTATTTTTGTTARGGGCCTCATAGAAATACGTCATTGTACTTAACGATGTTGGATTTCAACATCGATATCGAAATGTGATAGGTTAGCTGACCATCCGCACTTGTAGAGACAGATATTGACTTTTGGTAGCTATGCTTTCATGCAGCCATATATTCATAAATCAATATCATTTCTGAAAGGTTCAGAGTTGTTCAACTATAGTGAAGTCACATGACCCGTCAAATAGAAATGAAACTTAAGTTGCTTAGTTGACCACTAATTTCATTTTTCTCTTTTTTACWATCTCARTTTRTTTGTTTTTTCTCCCCTCAATTTTAATCAGTTAACATATTTTCTTAATACTTTCTTTTCGAGTTCATGTTTTAGTCTTTTGTCTCTTAGATCGGTATCCAAGGAAATAAAAACAACACAGAAGTATCGGGAAAAAAATGGAAAACGTGTTTATTATAATGAAACGAAAAGACACGTTGTTGTCAGTCGTCCGGAACTTCCTCGTTGACGCAATGATGCAATCAAAGTCAGAGGAAGTCWTACTGTATGGTTAAAGACAATTCAAATGTACCGATTTGGTTTCTTTGGGCAGYCTGGTTGTCGCTGATCGAGGAAGTACTCTAGGGTTTCGTTGGAAAAGAAAAGAAACAAAATTATCCTGTTCCTGTTTTGGGWCTCCCTGTATGCGTTGCACTTTCCCGATATATTTTTTACTCTAGCAGTCATTTGTGCTAGATTCACGCCAGAGCTTTTATCTTTTATCGATTGCGTAATGCGGTTATTACTATTGCGTGAGAGTTGTAAGAAACGCGATGTGTTCATTTATGTGCTTCTTTCCCACAATTTATCACCAAATGTCGTGGTATCCATGACACYATTTCTCATTTTATACCTACTTACGTAGTTATCGACCATGGAAAAGTAGATTCYCATATAAATTAAATTGATCGTTTATGTAGTTTAACATGTAGAGAGTTCAAGACACTGATTGCATCAGCCACTGATCAGTGCCGTCGATCTTGAGTACTAAAACAGCCTGATTATGAATTGCGGGGGCTTTTTGTCAGTAATTCATGRTGTATTTCTGTTTTCCTTAAATACAAGACTGGCAATATACTTTCATAGTTTAAACTTTCCATTTCATTTTATCACTATTAATGATATTTATTAATCTTATTTTGGCCTTAATTGAACCGCGCGTCGCATTGCAAACCACCAGCTAAAAATAACACGAGTCTCGCTGGTTAGTACTAAAATTGATATTTGATCAGATTTTAGACTGACGAGCCACGTGTCTACTTCATGTTGTGTTAATGGAATTGGCTTAGTGTTATATTTCTAGGGGGAGTTCTACTTTATATTCAGTGGGCGCTGTTTACGTAAAATGATTAATTCAAAAGCGTGGTACTGAGATATTGTGCCGCCGATGCATTGTGGGGCATCCCGATCCTGCAAATGCTGTTTCTTGATGAGCGCTTTTCCATTTCAATGTTTCATTCTTGTCGTTTAATCATTTGTTTTGCTACTGCTTTTACTCTGTTGTTTTTTTTTTTTTTTCAGGTTTGTGTGTATGACGTATGTCCGGTTGGACGGCTATGACTAAATAGACTAAATAGAGTATTAGATTTATTAGTCTGAGTCTTTGGACGTCCATGATTGACCCCCACTGTGAAAATCCGTCTCTTATTTACGACACATTCTTTGAACTCCTGCTGTTCGGCGATTACATCACAAAAATACTAACTAGATAATATCATGTGTAAAATATKTGAAAAATGATCAAATGTTTATTCTTGATTGACATACTACTCTTGTGAGATTCACTTGGTACTACTGCCACAATTTAACCTCTGTATACCTAGAAGGATGGATTACTGATAGGCTACTACACGCTATGCAGATTTAATACTACAGTTACTATGGAGGCTAAAGAATAAACTATAGCTATGACCCTAATACTTGAATTCCAGTATTTACTAATTTGACATTTATGAAKTTTGTACAATGATATACTATGAGTCATCATCTGATTATGGCGCGAAATTCAAGCATTTTGATTGGTTGTCGTGAAGGTACAATACTAGGACATAATAGTTGACATTTCCGTTTATTTACATATCTGTACACGGCGATACTAGACTTTCTTCTTCCCTTATTTTTTTTCATGGTCAAAATGATGAGTCATTTTTGGCCTGTACAGGCGGAAAAATCGTTACAAATTAAATGTATGTATATATACAAAACTGTTTAAATAGTAGCTGATTGACACCTTCAATTCATTGTTTCTATTTCTTTTCCGATCGCTTTAAGCGTGGGATTTTTGCTTTCTTATTCCTTGGCGGTAGTCAAGTGGGTGGTTACGTCACAAGTTAGTTCCCGCCAATCAGTGTTCATGCCAGCGCTTTGTCAACAAAAAACACCTCGCTTCACTGAATAGATTTCAGAGTACTACGTAGTTAGTTCGTGCCGKGAAGAAGGCTTGTAAACATTTGCTATTCATCAAAAAATACAAAACTCTGAAAGAAAGAACACTTAAAACCAAGTGAAATTCAAGGTTTTGCCAAACATGAGGCGGACAAAAGCCGTAAAAGCAACATTTCTGGCATTTTTTGCGGTGGTTTTGTCTTTTTGGCTTACAAGCGCAGGTTAGTACGAAATGTTTAACTTACCGGCAAAAGACCACGTGTTTGTAACAGAAGATTCTAAATTATTTTATTATATCATAAAATTGTAGAAAAATATTTCCTTTCAGTGTTAACGTCGTGAATGATGTATGTTGATTTTTGAGCGCACCCATTTTGTTGATATGAATATTTCCATTCATTCACGCCGGCCGGCCGGTCGATCATTCATTCSTGATTTAATAGTCAGCCACGCATTTACTATAAATTTCTTTTCTATATTATATATTGTACATTTATTTGACTCTTTATTTCAGTCAGAATTCTTAGGTTTTAATTCAATCCATAGTCCAACTGTTTGGTTTTGATCTTAGTTCGCTGTTGAGAAATAAGCAAATTAACTTAAGCTTAATACTTGGTCTCCAGTTCGTCTTTTTTCTGAAATATTTTTAAGACACAATTTGATACAGTAAGCCCCATTTGTTTTGGTAATCAAACTCTGACGTTTTTTAGTTTTCCCACGAGAATATACGAAATTACAACAGAATAAATTTTGGCGCCAGTGATTGCATCAGACAACACTACAACGTATGCCAAAAGACTGGATAGTTCTTTATCAAAGAATAATATTTCCGCTATTTCTCCTTGCTCTCATACATTTTTGTGTTTATTCATAGATRGACATTATGAAAATAACAATCATTTTTTGCTGTTAATTTTTAACCCGGCGAGTTRATGTTATGATCGGCGCGCACAACGATAGACTAAATCTGCACACTCCCACGCTGGTTTGATATCGACACTAACTTACGTAGGTTGATTTCATATTTTACTATTAATTCTCTTGGAGACGAAATCTTTAAAGATCTTGATTCCGTGAATTCACAATTGTTGAAATAATAGGGGAATAATTTTGTTCCAAGATGGCGTGCGTTGCTGTAGACAGACCTTATAATTTATTACCAGCTATATAAGCTTAGTCACTCTTTAACAGGTAAAATGCACCGGTTAAAAGAGAAAATTTGCATCTTTTCCCGACAAAGACCAAATATATTGATTGAATAGTACTAGTACTAGTACTAGTACTAGCGAATAGTTTGAATGTATTAATTATTATAACGAACGCTATCAGACTAGGACAACCGGTAACTTAAAACGATGCTCGGACACAAATAAGCGACAGAAAAAATGTAATTGGTTTTAGTGTATAAAGAGGGCGGAAATATTCGCGATTCACTATCCTTAATATTATGCTGTTGGTGAAGACGGAATGTCCTGGAAACCTCAGCGATCTGAACCAATTAAATCAATTCTATCTATGGATGGAAAGAGATATTTTTAGCCATAATTTTTCCTGTTTTGCGTTATTAATTTATCAATAATTTATTACTGCTTGATCACATGAGCAAAAGCTTACACTAGTCACTGTTTACAAGCCTTTCTATGCGTACAAACGCTGTACAGCTGCCAGCATATCAACTGTACAACCTTTAAGCTAGTGTCAAAATATTAACAATCATCCCAATTGCCCCAAATGCTTTTTGCAATATTATTGTTCTTATTAAATTCTCTTGRTGAAACTAGGATGATGTAATAATGCAATGTTGGGCAATTAATTCTCTGTTGGACTTTCCTAGCCTGCGTTACATCAGGAATATTCTTCGATATATACTCTGGTATTTTTGAAATTTCCGGGATACAAYGCAGGCTAGACTTTCCAGATGATTATTATGGACATGAGGTCTTTATCATATATTGGACTATATTTTTTATACTGGACTAGGGCTATATTTATTGCCTAATGGAGCATGGTGATGAAAAAATGTCAGATATATAACTTCCCTGTTTTTCATTTAGAGAGTCCTACGTATAAATGTCCTGAAGGACAGTTTATGTGTAAAAACCAAARATGCATTGTGGGCAGATGGAAATGTGATGGTGAAAATGATTGTGGGGACAATTCAGATGAAGATGCTTGTGGTAAGTTCTTTTCCCTATATATTTGATATGCAGGCATATGATATTGAATATGAAATAATGGAAATTGAAACCTCATAAATCTGCATGGACATTGAAAAGTGGATGTAAGAATGAAAGTGGAAATTTAAGCAGGTGGCAGTGGAGTYCCTGTGTATTCACTGGTATTATTCTTTTGTAGCACCAAAAACCTGCAGGCCAGAYGACCAGTTTCGGTGTGGTAATGGTAAATGTATTCCTAAGACTTGGCTTTGTGATGAGGAAGATGATTGYAAAGATGGAAAAAGATCTGATGAGCAAAACTGTGGTTGGTATACATTGAAATATAATTTATTTAAGTCATCCTTTTATTTCATTCATTCAGACATTGAGAATAAGGTATAAAATACGAGACAACAGGACCACTGTACCACTCTTTGATAAATTGTATTCATTTTTTCTTTTCATCTCTTTATCTATTGTTAACCATTGATATGTTCAATATGTTTACATCTTCAGCCATTTCCCTTTGATGAGAAGACAGCTATGTACACAATAGACCACTAGACAGTAATGTAMCAACTGTTTCTTTCAGGTAATGTAACCTGTGCCCCCAGTGCGTTCAAGTGTAATAATGGCAAGTGTATTGCTAATCACTGGAAGTGTGACGGCAATGATGACTGTGAGGATAACTCAGATGAAGATACATCAATGTGTAGTAAAGGTACATATTAAGTTGAAGTGTGACTTAGTTTTACAATTAGACAACTGAACCTTTAGCGATACTCCAGTTTAGAATTCATAGCGAAAAAACGCTGCTTTATTTGACAACAGATTCTCTTGCCCAAAAGACCTGACCAAACACAAAAGAGAGCACGAGAAAATGTCGTTATCACAATAGTCTTGAAACTTGGCATTTTCCCTAATTTGAGACTAAMCCTGTATATATTCCCATAACACCTAAGGTATGAGCCTTCTTCAGGGTTAGCCTAAACTCAGGGAAATTGTAAATTGTTAGCGCTATTATACTAATACATTTTCTGTGGTTTCTTTTGTGTTTGTAAGGTCTTTGTATAAGAGAATTTACTAAATAAAACAACAGTTATTTGCTTTGAATTCGAAAATGGAGTATTCAAAATGGGGTTTTGTTAGTAGTTGCTTTGTTTTGTTTTTTTTGTTTTTGTTTTTATTATTCCCAGTCACTGATGATTGTTTACAGGACAGTGGCTTAATCAGACATTACAATTTGTTCCTAGTTCCAGCTCGTACTTGTGCATCAGACCAGTTTACATGTAGTAATGGYCATTGTGTGTCAAAGAGATGGGTATGTGATAGAGAGGATGACTGTGGAGACAAGAGTGATGAACTGCAAAGTGAATGCAGTAAGTGAAACAGTTCTTGTTGATATCACTTCATGTATGAGAGGTAGTCTTCTATRCATAGAGCCGATTTCGTATGAGTGGGACACCGTTACCGCACGGTTACCGCACAGTTACCGGACCTGGCCTGCACAATTTTGGTGAACCAGTGGGGCACTAGAATTTGGTTACAGTACGATTACGGTCACCGTACWGTACCGTCCGTTTCCCACTCATACGAAATCCGCTCTATCACTAAGGCTGCATTTGTAATCATTGTTGATAGATTCTTTTTTCCTGTGAAGATTCTTTATAAACGTGTGTAACTATTATTTGAAGATAAGTCTTCTTGTTTCAGTGAAAGCAGGRATATCAGTTTCAATATATTTCAATTAAAACTGTTCATAATATATTGAAAAATTAATAACGTTATTCAACCTATTACTCACTGAATCCTCTAAAAAATATCACAAATGTTTTCAATTATATTCTGATGTGTAACATTTTCAAAGTTTTGTTGATCACATTATATATTGCCTTTTATCAGATTCCAAGACATGTGCAAGTRATGAATATCGATGTAACGGCAAAAACCACAAATGTATACGAAATGAATGGAAATGTGATGGTGATAACGACTGTCCACTGGCTGATGATGAGGAWGGGTGTCCAACAACTCCATMTGTTCCAAKCATTAGAATTTGTTCAGTTGGTATGTTCATGTGTAAGAACAAAGAGTGTATCCTTGGAAAGTGGAAATGTGATGGTGAATCTGATTGCTCTGATGGCAGTGATGAGACTAATTGTCGTAAGTACATGTCAAAAGATTGTTGATAAATTTATGAAATAAAATTTTTGTTKTTTGAATGTTCTTTTTGGTTTGATTGATGGGACTGTTCCTTCTTATTATTTTTTGACTCATAAATTAAATCATGGAGTTGCTACAATCTTTTGCAAGAATGAATAGACTAATGTCAAAAGTCTTGATAATAATTCTGAAATAGGTAGTACAGTAGTTTTTTTTGTGCTGTCTGTTGTTTTATTGTCMAACATATAACAAATCAGGATAATGAAATATTGAATATTTTTGATCATATAATAACTGAATATGAAGATTGATAATTTATTGTGGTATTATTTTTTGTGTCAATCCAGCTAAATCCAACTGCAGCAATGGACACTTTGCATGTGCAAGAGGAGGGTGCATCCCAGCTAATGAGAGATGTGATGGCAGCCCTAACTGTGCCGATGGCTCTGATGAAGTTAACTGTAGTAAGTGTCCCAAAACAATGTTGTCAACTGCACACTCATGCATGGGGGATTTACTTACAACTAAAAACTTTTAATTGAGAACACTTGATCAATTAAGAACTACACTTAATCAATTAAGAACACTTAATCAATTAAGAACAGTTAAAAAATATGTTCTGATAATTGGCTTGTTTAATTTTTAGTGACCCCACCGCCATGCACAGAGGATGAATTCAAGTGTGGCTCCACATCTGTGTGTATTTCTAACACTAAGTTATGTGATGGTAAAAATGATTGTCCCAACAATGAAGATGAATCCATGAGATGTAGTAAGTACAATAATTGCAGACATTAGAAAGAGTGACTGGTTGTGAATGGTTATAATTAAATATTCTCACACATTGCTGAGAGCTTATTGTCTAGCTGACAACCCCTACCAGACTATTGTGAAGATTGTRACTTGAAAATGTTATACGTTTGCCTCAGGCTTGGGTATTACCCAATCAAAATTCAGTCAGGCGTTTCAGTCTAGTAGCATTGACCTTCATCAGTGATAAAAAATGTGAAGAAATAATTATTATTTTGCAATACAGTGCGATGTAATATCTTTTGGTCCTTTCAATCAGAAACTTGTAAGGGATTGGTAGCATGGTTCAGTGCTAAAGAATATTCAAATTGATTAGCACGATGCACATGGCAATATGATAGATATGATATCAAAAAGGTTGTGGATTCGAATCCCAGCGAGGTCGGAAATTAATTTTACTGAATTTATTCCTAAGGGTCTTTCTCCTGGAATTGCCTCCTTCTAAGCACTAGCTATAACTTTTTTTTATTTTCTATATTGTGTCTATTCATATCCTTGAATTGATTAGCATAATATTTTATATTAACCATTGTTTAGGATCATTCACAATACTCACAATACTCATTCACATTAAATACATATTATTAATATATGTATAAATTGTTGAATGGATGGCTGAATTTGGTGTGGATTCAGTAATTGAGTAATTTATGATATATTCCAGGTATAAATGAATGTCTTGATCACAATGGCCATTGTCAACATACTTGTAATGATCTGCCTATTGGATATAACTGTAGCTGCAATCCAGGATATACCATCTCTGCTGACAGTGCRCGTTTATGTGAAGGTACTTATTACATTGTATTTAAACAACAATTTATATTGATATAGAGAAGTGATGATTAAATGATTGGACAGATGAAAACAACTTGCTAGGTTAGAATGATTAAGTCATTGTCATATTTGTGTTTTTTTTTAAACAAAGATGTTTTCTATATTTGATGTAGATGTTGATGAGTGCCTAGTTTATGGTCAGTGCAGTCAGAYATGCATCAACTTCAAGGGTGGTTATAAATGTACTTGTAAACAGGGCTATATAATGGAACCAGATCACAAGACTTGTAGAGCTGTAGGTAAGAGTCAACAATAATCAATCATAATTATAAGTTAAAGAAAAAAATTTAACAAGTCTTATACTTCTCTTGATGAAAAACATGCATAAAATACTTAATAACGTGAATATTATAAATGTTATGATGACTTCCTAACCATTTTTACCCCTCAATACAACATTAYYCAAACCATTCTACTATTTAACAGGTAAGAGAAAGGTAATCGGAGTGATCAATCATGTTTTTTCCCAACAGATCCAGCACCATACCTATTGTTTTCATCTCAAACCAGTGTACGCAAGATGACAGTTAATGGTTATTCTTATAACAGCATCGTRACTRRWCGAAAAGGTGCAGTCGGCATTGACTTTGACCTTAAAACTAACAAAGTGTTCTGGACTGATCCAAAATCCAGGAAAATCCACAAGGCCAACCTTGATGGAACAGGTAAAGAGATCTAGATTATTTTTGATAGCAAGAATACTACATCACCATCATGAGAAGGTTGTGCGGCGGTTGCCTACTTTTAGAGCAAGTGTTTAAGCACTGCCCAGGAGCAGTGTCATGATCATTGCTGACATACATACAAATTTACATATCCATGAAACAGCTGACTACCTATCACCATATGACTAATTTAATAAGTTTGTTAACAATGTTGTCATGTTTATTTCCAGGAAATATCCAGGATATCATTGGTGATGTTAGAGTACCAGATGCCATTGCTGTTGATTGGGTTGGACGTAAGATTTACTGGACAGATGGTGATTTAAATATGGTTGAAGTAGCAGAATTAGATGGTACCAACAGAATGGCTTTATATACTGATGGTTTGGATGAACCAAGGGCAATCGCTGTGGACCCATCAACAGGGTAAATTTTATTCATGATTTCAAAACTTCATTATTTAAAGAAAATGGGTTGGAGTGATAAATTATATATAAGTTATGAAAAAATAGATTTGCAGGAATGAAGGGTCAACTTGAATAATAATTATATTAACTACAGTAAAGTCATCAATTTTTTTAAATATCCAGCTTTTCAAAATTATGTGTTATGATATTAACTAAATTATGTATAACATCACTTTAATGAAGCTCAAGTATTCTTTTTGATTGTTTTAGATACATCTACTGGTCAGATTGGGGCTATTACCCACGCATTGAGCGAGGTGCTATGGATGGCACCAGTGSTGCACGTCGTGTGCTTGTGAACAGTAATCTTGGATGGGTAAATGGGATGACTATTGATTACACCATTGACCGTTTATACTGGGTTGATGCAAGGCTRAGAAAGATAGAGACAATCAAACTAGATGGCACTGATAGACGATTGATTGCATTAACCCCTAATGAGCATCCCTTTGCAGTAACTGTATTTGAGAACTATCTGTACTATTCTGATTGGACGAGGAATGATCGAGCTATTAGGAAAGTGAATAAGTTTACTGGTAAAGATCGATCAGTTGTGAAGACATTAATGTGGACTCATATGGATATCAAGGCTGTCCATCCTCACCGRCAGTCCAATGGTGGGTAGCAATCATTAAGTAATATAAGCCCTGCTTGCCCTGACATACACAACATTCATTGTCAGGTACTTTTGTAAAAATACAATAGATCGAAACGACTGAAGTAATAGTAAATAATGATAAAAAGCACTACCAGGGTTTGTGCTACTCCTTAAAGTCCTTGAAAAGTCCTGGAATTGAAAACTCATTTCAAGGGCTCTTGAAAGCCCTTGAAAATTGGGAAAATCAGAAAATCTCCTGGAAAACTCCTTCAATCTGATAAAATTGACATGTTGATTGTGAGCTTTTGGATTGAAATGTGGCTATTTTTAAAAAATTGCCACTTGAAATGTCTGCAAACATCTAAAAATATCTTCAAAAATACTCTTGATAATCACATTTTTGTGCTTGAAAAGTACTTGAAAAGTCCTGGAATTTTGTAGTGAAAATGTTGCACGAACCCTGTACTACCTATCCTTGGCAATGTGTAATACTTACTTAAACTTTGTATTGAGGACTTTGTTTGTTTGATACAGTAACCAGCTCAAGAGCTAATGCCTGTATTGTTAACAATGGAGGKTGTAGCCACCTTTGTCTGCTAGCTGTTGCACCAAAACTTGCAACATGTCGATGTCCTAATGGTATGAATATGTCATCCAATGGTAAAACATGTAATGGTAAACCATTTACTGGACAGCCAACACCAGCACCTACATCTTCATCAACAAGAGGACCAGTATCAGTACCATCTGGACAAAGTACCACAGCATCTTCCAAAACATCCAAAACCAAACCAAACAATGTTGCAAAACCAACAAAATCTTCAACAAGTGATGAAGTTCATAATGGAGGAAAAAATCCAAGAACAACAAAACCAACAACAAATAGTGGAAATGCTGTTGTGGCCAAGCAAAAAAGTGAGTACTTTCTTTCCTGGCATCTTTGTGATATCATATATTCATCCATTTAAACACTCATTATTGCATTGAAGTCCAGAGAGGAACCCASTGAAGGAGGTCAATACTCTACGCATCTTCAGTTTGACAATCATTTATAACATTGTTGTTTATTTCAGGTTCTTCAAGTGACAGTGGYCCAAACCTTAAACTTATTATTCCTATTGTACTTGCCATTTTACTAATACTAATACTAGCAGCTGTCGGCTACTGGTTCTGGAGGACGCGTTACAGGTATAAGCCAAGTATAAGTTATTACAAAGACATGTCTACAAAGCCACTGGAAGAAGACTTTGATGACAATGAAACTACTAAAGTATTTGATGATGGAGGACCAAGGTGTAAGGTTGAATTTGCTTAGGTCTTATAGATTATTGATAATATTATTAGAGTATAATAGTATTTAAGGTAACCATATTGTCTATTGTACTTAATAGGTACAGTACACAAAAACAAGGTGTACAAATTTACCATTTTTTGAAATTCAAATGTGATCTTGTGCATGACAAGCTACCTTAGAGTTTCTTTTGCATGCTATAGACATTAATTTAATTTAAGCTGTGAAAGAAGAACCAGGCATTCTAGACAATCTATCAATGTCATTTCAAATAGACAGGAATTTTCCTGGGAATGAATCTCCATCTTGAGGGAAAACAATGGATTCTCAAACCAYTTGTCCCTATAGACCTAATCGGCTAACGGCGTWGCTATGTGCGTTGCCACCCAATTCAAATCCTGTKRGAAAAAGAGCTTTTGTTTCTAAGAATTCAACTGTGGAATGAAAATACAACGAACAATGAAACTTTCTCCCAGSTGGTTTGAATTGGGTTKAAGCCGATTCGGTCTATAGAAGTTGTTTGGATGTCACATGCAAAGAGTCTATTATAGCTATTTTAATGCTTGGAGAGAGATTTGCACCTCCTATACCTCCACCCAAGATCATTCTCCTAGGGGCTRCTTCTTATTTTCACTTACTTCAGCTATTAATAGAATCTGTTTTAAACGTGAAAAATATTATTGTGCAGTGTAAATCAAACATTTTTTCAGCTGAAGTTTGAATATTTTGTGTATGCCTCTACAGCGAAACCTCTATTTTATGGTCACAAGAGAYCACAAGTTTCTGAAATATTTTCTRATAAAGGTTTTGCTGTAGTTTAATGGCACTGCAGTCGTGCTGTGATGAGTTAAGTTTTGTATTATTTATTCTAGAGCAGGCTCAGAGTGATGTAAATACAAGTGACGTGTGTATGTGCAGGMCACATGCCTAAATTAATGAAGTGCTGCTTAAAAGCTTGCTTAGGGTAATTGTAACTAATGTCAAAACAATGTATATTCTCTGGAAACCTAGTAAGAACTATTTGACCTGAATGGTAGCACATACACTGCTTTCTAATTGGAGATAATTTAAGACTGTTCTATAAGAAATAAATTAGGAAAAATGAGAGAAGAGCCATAATTTAAGACTGTTTTATAAGAAATAAATTAGGAAAAATGAGAGAAGAGCCACAGACTAATTTTCTTGATTGAATTGTAGGCTTATTTATTTATAACCATTAGAATCCAATGTTCAACAGGTCAAGCTAATAATAAATATAATAATGGCACAAAAATAATTATTTAATGACAAAAAATGAAAAATATCATCAAAAGTGAAAACAAGAATAAAAAAGAAATATTCAAGTGTCATGATTATAAACTAAGATAATATTTTAGGTACATTATATATAATATGATAATTAATTTTTGACATTGGTTAGAATTGCATTGCTATAGTCGATAAATATATTTAATAGCGCAGTATTTTGTACTAAAATGCTTTATAAATTTAATGCCATTACATTCTGGTTAATGTAAAAAAAATATTTTGAAATCTAGTTTTTTAAATGCAGTAAAGTAATGCCTGCTTCTGAAGCTTTTTGCTATAAAATGCATTAGAAATAAATATATATCCAAAMTTGATATTTATCATGGATTTTCATTTTTTGTGCGAGATATTTATCAATTAATATAAGTTTATAACAGGACATGTTATTAAGTTGACTTGAATTAATTTTCTTTTTGTTAGTAATGAATATTATGGTATTGATGATAATATTTTCATCATTAATGAGATTAATATTATTAATRGTTAATTTTCATTGTTGATATGATTAATATTATCATCATTTGTTTGATTAATCATTGACTTATCATTATTGCTAATAGTGATTATACATGTAATCTATGACATGATTTCCAGTGATCAACAGTATATCATAATTGATATGATTAATAGATGAATCATAATATATCAATCAATTGGAAGAATTACATTCTTCTATCCATTATAATTGAAATGATTCCTACTGAGTGATGATCATTTCAATATGGTTATTAGTTATTTACAGCATGAAATGCCAAAACTGTAGTCATCAAACAACTTGCAAATGAGATAGAAAGATAGTGAGGATTTTCTTTTTAGTTAGTGTCCCACAGCCATGTTAATGGAGTATTGAGAAAGGATTTCACTTTAGCATTTATRGTTGAAACTACCAGCAACCAAACCAGTAATAAAGAATATTCAGSTGGCCAYAGTTTAGYATGTCTTGCTGTAAATAACAAAGTCTAGGGTAATTCTATGAACCAGACCTATAATTTATTGGCCAGTAAGTTGTAAAAGTATTGTGCCCTATGACTGAGATAAGGATTGAGTGTAAGACGTCTGGTCCTAGCCAGAAAAAAMCCTAAAGAGATGTGCACTATGCATACTCAATGTATATATATATGTGTTTAAATGATTATTTCTCTAATTTGTAACTATATTATTGAGTTAAGAATAATATTATTAAGATATTGTAGCTATTACATAACTAATGTTATTATGTTGGGTTAATTAATGTTTGACTGTATTTTGAATGCACCTGTTCCAGTAATGATGAAGATCTAGGATCTGAATATAGACCTGCGTGCCTGGGGAATGTTTTCCCATTTATCCCCTTACRAATATAATGTGTTGTTTTTCATCAGTTTTGARAGAAAACATGAACAATACAGATGTCAGTAAAATACAGAATTTCATTTTCAAGAGGAGGATTAGCATAATTGCTCTAAGCCTTTCTTTGTTTCAACATACAAGAGTAAAGCTCACAGTCCTGGATAGTAYATTTGCTATTTCTATGCACTCAGATATATATTTAAAAGATGTGAGAAAAGAACACAAAGAGAAGGAACTGTTGGTGTTGGCAATCATCCAGTAGCACAAACATTGCTACTTACCAATAACTGACAAACCTTTATACCATTACTGGAACATTATTTACATGCGACTTTGTATCAGGCAAGACACAAGTTCTCTGACTTGTGTATTTCTGAATTGAAATGACATAAATAGAAAATTGTATTTGAGATACTCTTGTCTTGATTGTAGCAAAGTAAAGCAATGTTGGTCTTAAACTATGTTATGACTTTGTCAGAAAATGCCAGCTTAAATTTGATGTGTGTATTTACCCATAATCCCCCGCAGTCTCTGACATATGGTCTTGACRGGGCCATTCTGTGTTGTGCATGTTTTGTATATATAATATAATACTATTATACCATTTGTAATGATTGCTAAAAAATGACTTAAAACAATTAAAACTAAATAAAGTTAAATGAATAAGAACGATGCAGTTATTGAAATTATGTCTAATGATTACACCTTTGACCTTAGTGAGCATCATTGAGCACAGACCCCTCTATACCCAGCCATGCAATATGCACCCTTAGGGACCTCCGATAGTATATGACACCCTGTAACAATTAAATACAGACATCAAGAAAATACCTTCAAATTATTACAAAAACTCCTCGAGGATAATGGGGTGAGAGTTTTTATACTGACTTTCTGGCGTACAGAAACCTCGATAATAACGTTTTAACTCGTTAGAATTCAATTGTTTTTTGGAAATAAATTTGACTTAATGATGCATAAATTAACAGTTGTCAAGGATACCATCATGCATTTCAGGGGGTGCATTGATTGCATAACAACATGGCCGCGCGCTCGGTCAAGTTAAAGTGGCTCTGTGCTGAGTTTATGACACCAAAATGGCCCTTAAACTCGTCAATTTTGTCCAGGTTAGTTAAATAATAATAGTATGAGAAATATTTTTCATGAARCTCCGTTTTAATCGAGGGAAAACTTTGCTAACTTTGTTTGACGCGCCGTCTGTCTGCATTTTCAATCCCTGCCTCGTTGATGTGTCAAAAAGSATCAAATTTCCTGATAAACAGCAACATTTTCCATCATATTATGGCCATTCATCGTTCCTTCTCATTGTGTCACAAGACAAAACTAGAAAATTCTAAAAAAAAATTGATGAATTTTGTCAAATTCCAGCGCTGCTCGTTCTGCTCTATCGAACTCTCGTGACGTAAACTTAAGCATTTTACATGTAAATGTATAGCCACTACAATGTCCAGAATACATTATATAAATGCCTGAACCATCTGTTTCATAGATTTGTGAAATAAAAGAAAAACAATTACACTACATTTATATTTTCGCGCGTTTTCACTCATTGGTCAATGATGTCGATAACTTTTGACACAGGCAGCCCATCGCAAAATTTTTCTTTGGTTTAAGATGCAGTGTGAAGACGAGATCTGCCCTTCACGTACCCTGGTAATAAGTATAAAAAGAAATCGATAACAACCACAAAAGACCGTGAGATACTAATAACAACGAAAAGCAAGAATGGTAGGTGTGACGTCACTTCATGTTCAATCACTTCCGCTACGCGCTAAGATGTCCAATACCTCATTTTTAATGTTAGCATTAATGACAATAAACAATCTTGTATAGCATCTTTATTCATACATAATAATGTAGATTTGAGATATATTTCTGTAGGATATACTCGATATCAACGCCTATCTTAACCAAAAACCATAAAAATCGGTCAATGATTCGAGTAAAGAGATTAGAAGTGAAGTCATATATAAATTGAGGAAGAACATTCATGAAATAACATGCCCAGAAAATAAACGCTATTAGCATCGCTGTTATCGTAAATGTGTCCGTTGAGAAAAGCCACAGYTCATTTAGCTGTAAGTAAAAAATGAAAGAAATCAGTAACACGATACTGAATAATATTGGAAACTGAAAGTGTTGGAAAGTCAGCAAAGGTGTACTTACAAACGTTTCTTCAGGTTCAGTTTGAACTTTTTTATTAACCTGTTACAAAACAACACTTTTTTAGATATCAAGAACGCATTTCTATTGTTCAGAAGAAACAAGAATTCAGTGATGAATGTTTAACGATAATAATGATCATGTCTGCCTTACCATCTTTGGTGTCTGTGTTTGCACTGTTGCTTGTCTTGATTTAAGTACCACAGATTTCTGAAATGCAGAGTCGTCCTTAATCCTTTCGTCTTTTCCTATCTTCTTCCGCCCCCCTCTCCTTCCGGCTCCATACTTGCCCTCTTCCTACTTTCTTTCCTTCGTTGCTGCCTCCCTTCCTTCCTCCCTAACTCCTTTCGTTCCTCCTTCCCTTCCCTTCTCATTCCTCCTTTCATCCATCTATTCATTTTCCATCCATCCGTTTCCATGCATCAGCATTCATCATTTCCTATTCTATTCCATTATCATATTGATCAATCTTTATTATTACCTTCTTGAAGCTAACATTATGAGAGCGTACTGGTTCTTTTTCYTTTTTCGTCATTTTATTGTAATCCCTTATGATGTTTTCAAGCTGAAAATGAAGAAATGGTTACGTTGTTCTATCGTCTTAATTAATAATGAGTTTAAACTGCGTACTTCAACCGATAATRCATCAGAKATACTTACAGTTTCGTCGTATTCCGTTTGTGATGCCATTTCAAACTAAATAATTAAGAAAAACATGATTTTAAACGTGTATCTTGAATAGGAAATCATAAAATCGCTTGATTTTTAGATAACTATTTACCTTCATCACTGATGCAGTTTGAATTGATTTGTTACTCATCAAAGGTGTTGTTTCCGTGAACTGAAACAAAAATACAACGCTTTTATTKCTTATTCTTCATTTATTAATMAATTTATTTATTAAACCGCTTCTCATTTATTTCATCCATTYACTYATCCATTTAYTTTTYCATTCTTTTCGTTCAAGGACTTGAGAACTGAAGGTCTAGTCTTTCTTACAGTACAACGATGACTTTT